TTGATTAGAACTCATGTATACCGAACCATACCTGGCTAAATCGATATGTATAGCGGTAATGAGTTGTTTTGGGCTGATTTAGTATGTAGCGGTAATGAATTGTTTTTTGCCGGAAAAATGTAGCGGTAATGATCGGTCGAAAATCTGACAAAATGTAGCGGTAATGAGTTGAAATTTTTGGCAATGTAGCGGTAATGTTGACCTCCCGAGCAAGAGTGCCTGTACCAAAATTATGAATTTTATGGCCCCAGGGTCAGGGGTTCTGGTGTTAGGGCAGGGCTCTGTTGATTGTATAGTAAAAATGCATTTATTCTTTGAAAATCTTCTCTGCTTCTTCTGTATCAAATAAACCAACTAAGTAAAAAGTTATCATGAGCAAGAGAACCTTTTCCAAAATTTTGAATTTAATGGCCCCAGGGTCAGGGTGGTGCTCTATTGATTATATAGTGAAAATACATTATTTCTTTGAAAATCTTCTTATCTGCTCCTAGGTATTAAATAAACTAAGTACATAGTTATGATGAGCAAGAATGCCTCTACCAAAATTGTGAAATTCATGGCCCCAGGGTCAAGGGTTATGGTGTTACGGAGTGGCTCTATAATGATTATATAGTAAAAATACATTACATCTATGAAAATCTATTTCTCTACTCCAGGGTAATAAACAGATGTACTACCTATATAGTTATGATGTGCAAGGGCTCTTCTTCCAGAATTGTAAATATCAAGGCCCCTGGGTCAGGGATACCGAAGAGGGGGGGGGGCTCTACTTATGTACTGAAAATGAATTGTTTGAAATCTTCTCCTTATTATTAATCAAACATTATTGATAAGCAAGTCTGCCTTATCAAAAATTATGCAATGTGTTTACCTAGGGCCAGGGGTTCATGTGTGGTAGGGGCACTTATGATATCGGTGAATATTACTGATTGCTTGAAATGCATTTTTTGTTCCCCTGCCCTGCTTATGGGTATTAAGTAAACAAACTAAACAATTGCTGAGTGTATAGTTATGATTAGCAATGGTGCCTCTTTTAGAATTGTGAATGCCATAGCACCTGGCTTGAAACATGAACCAAATTCAATCATTTGAAAGTTGTTGCATGATGCTCAGGTGACCTATAAGGCCCGTGGGCCTCTTGTTTGGTGCAGGTCTCATTTCCAACTAACTTTGAGTCCTATGATTACTAAACTTGCATGGATGATACATCTAAGGATGCATACTACCGGGTTGCTTCAGATGCTGAATCTGACCTTCTTTTTCTAGATGAGTGAATAGGGTTAATGTTTTTGGTGCAGGTTAAAGTTTTTGGCGCAGGTCTCATTTCCAAGTAACTATGAGTTCTCTAATGACCAATCTTAAATGGATGATACATCTAAGGATGCATACTATCAGGCTTGCCACGGATGCTGGATCTAACCTACATTTTCTGCATGAGTGAACAGGTTCATGTTTTTGGTGCAGGTCTCATATCCATGGCAAATAGCTATAAGTCTTATGTTGACCAAACTTCGATGTATGCATACTATCAGGTTTGCCTCGGATGCTGGATCTGACCTACTATTCCACATAAGTGGACAGATTCATGTTTTTGTTGCAAGTCTCATTTCCAAGTAACTATGAGTCATATGTTGACCTTACTTGCATGGATAATACATTTAAGGATGTATATTACCAGGATTGCTTCAGATGCTGCATCCAACTACAATTTCCAGATGAGTGAACAAATTTAATTTTTTTGGTGCAGGTCTCATTTCCAAGTAACTGTAAGTCCTATGATGACCAAGCTTACAAGAATGATACATCTAAGGATGCAAACTATCAGGCTTGCTTTGGATGCTGAATCTAACCTACATTTTCTGCATGAGTGAACAGGTAAATGTTTTTGGTACGGGTCTCATTTAAAAGTAACTATAAGTCGTATATCGACCAAACTTCGATGGATGATAATCTAAGGATGCATACCTCCAGCCTTGGTTCATATGCTGGATTTGACCTTTTTCCAGATGAGTGAACAGATTCATGTTTTCCGTGCAGATCTCATATCCAAGTAACTATGGTGACCAAACCTCGATGGATGATACAGTTAAGGATGCATTGCTTATTTCAGGCGTGCCTCGGGTGCTGAATCTGATCTACATTTTCCACATGAGTGAACAGGTTCATGTTTATGGTGCAGGTCTCATATCAAAGTAACTAAATCCTTTATTGACCAGACTTTGATGTATAACACATCTTAGATTGCACACTGTCAGGTTTGCCTCAGATGCTGGATATGACCTATATGTACATTTTTCACATGAATGAACAGGTGAATGAACAGGTTAATGTTTTTGGTGCAGGTCTCATTTCCAAGTAACTATGAGTCCTATGATGATCAAACTTGCATGGATGATACCGATACATCTAAGGATGCGTACTACCAGGCTTGCTTCAGATGCTGGCTCTGACCTCCACTTTCCAGATGAGTGAACAGGTTAATGTTTTTGGTGCTGTTTAATGTTTTTGGTGCAGGTCTCATTTCCAATTAACAGTGAGTCCTATGATGACCAAACTTGAAGGAGTAACATATCTACGGATGCATACTACCAGGCTTGCTTCAGTTGCTTGATCTAACTACATTTTCCAGATGAGTGAACAAAGTAATGTTTTTGGTGCAGGTTTCATTTCCAAGTAACGATGATCCCTATAATGACCATACTTGCATGGATGACACATCTAAGGATGCATACTACCAAGCTTGCTTCAGGTGCTGGATCTGACCTACATATTCTGGATGAGTGAACAGGTTAAAGGTTTTCATGCAGGTCCAATGTCCAAGTAACTATGAGTCCTATATTGACCAAACTTGCATTGATGATACAAGTACATCTAAGTATGCACGCATATGAAATTACTTTGGATGCTGAATCTGACAAACATTTTTCGGATGAGTGAACAGTTTTTGAAGCAGGTTGATTCTAAGGTAGGTATAGGCTCTATGTTGAGCAAACTTGCATGGATGATACATGTAAAGATCATGCACACTCATGAACTTGCTTCAGATGCTGGATCCGACATACATTTGCTAGATAATGGACCAGGTTTAATTAGTTATGGGTGTAAGTCTATTACCAAGAAACTATTAGACCTATGTTAACCAAACTTAATGCAATGATGATGCATCAAGGGATGAACACTCTCAAACTTGTTTCAGATGCTGGATTTGAAAAACATTTTCTTGATGGGCGACTACTTTGAAGTTTGAAGGATAAGTCTATTCCCAAGTAACTGCAGGCCCTATCAGATCAAAATTTCATAAATTTTGCAATTTGGTATGTTCACTCCTACATTGTTAGTTTAATGTGGGACATTGTCTTATTTAAAGGCAACATTCGTTGAGGTAGCTCTAATCTCTGATTACATGTACCTAATGTTTATTGTCTCTTTAAACAGCAATATATTTAGTCATTCAATGTTGATGTGACTATAGACTATTCTGCTCCAGAATCCATCATGCCGAGTTATTGTGCTCTTAATTGTGACACAGCTATGTAAAGGTATCACCATGTTATATGTCTCCATCATCAAATAAAAACATAACAACAAAATAAAGATGTTTAAAGTTTATTGGAAAAAATCAACAAGTATTTACACTATTTCAGAGAGAGAAAAAAACTATATAATTCCAAATAAATGTAAAATTAAGAATATAAAAAAGCCGAAAAGGACAAACAAGAAGCCTGTGAGCCAATGCCCCCGCACTGATGTGAACATAAACATCATGTTAAAATACACATGTACAGTGACAGGCAGATGCATGGATAAATAGGAAGTTGACATCAAGTTCACATAAAAATAAATCCAACCATATAGCAAGCCTCAACAAAGTATGTGCTAAAATTTCAAGCATCTGTAATGAGTAGTTGCTGAGAAAACTGTGACAAAAATTTTATGTACAAAGAGTGTACTAAAATTTCTAGCATCTGCAATGAGTAGTTGCTGAGAAAACTGTGACAAAAATTGTATGTATGAAACAGACAGATGCACAGATGAACAGGAAGTTGACATCAAATCAAAAGATATGGCATGCCTCAGAAAAGATTGTGTTAAAATTTCAAGCATCTGCGATGAGTAGTTGCTGAGAAAACTGCGACCAAAAATGTGTTATGGACAGACAGATAGACAGACACACAAGGGTAAAACAGTATACCAGGCCCCCTCTCCTTCGGAGTGGGGTATAAAATTTTTTCAATGTCAAATATGTAAATTAGCAAAATTTAATCAAAACTATTTACACTGATTCAGTATGAATTATGTACATATATACAAAGAGATGTAGGACCACATACCTGTGTGACAAGTCATAGAGGAACATGGAAAAACACCAACCCAAAACAGCACATTATGTCAGAAGTCTCAAGTCAGGTGCACAGTCACACAGGTAAAAGCTGGGGCCTACAAACTCAAGGCAGCAAACATCTGTTCCAAGCACTGTATTTCAATCTCCATTGGCGAAAGCTAAAAAAAAAGAGAAGATTTTCAAATAAAATGAATAAGAAAAAATGCTAAAGCTAGAATAACAGAAATGTCTAGAATACATTTTAAAAGTAGTCAATGTTACAAAAAAAAATGCCTACCATAGCAGTCTTCTGTCTCTTTGAAGACACAAATGGTTGGTCCGGTCTTTTACGTTTTCGAGTGGGTCGATCCTGAAATAAACCAACAATATTTGTAATATCAGACAACTATTATACAGACACATATGTAGACATTCCACATTTTATTTATCTGTAATTAATAAAGACTATTTGATTATTTCCCATTACCTCCGCCCCTGTAGGCTGTGTCTCGGTACATCCATTCCGTCCTGCCTTGTCCTCCACCAATCTCTCTGTCTCTGGCAGCTTGCCACCAATCACCTGAAAAAATAATTAATTAAATTTCACTTTTTTTGGTCTCATTTTAGTACCTGCTCAAAGCAGCCATCATTCTCCTCTCAAATATTGACTTGCTGTTGCTTAGATTATATCTTTCTTATTATACAAACATTTTTGAAGGTTAAATTTTCTGAATATTTTGTTTGGTTTCATTGCTTTATTCGAGTATAACAATAATACATGTTCTTGTAATTCTTTAATTACACCTACCCTGTCAGTGGCAGCTGTAGGCTTGTCAGAGGAAGAGTTGAGAGGAATCTCAGCATGTGGGGTAGATCCGCAATCGGAGGGTGGGGTGGGATACGACTCATCAGTCGAGGAGGAACGTCTGGAAGGGACGTCTTCACCCAGGGAAGATCGAGTGGTGACATCAGTCTGTACCTCACAGAGTCCAGTCTCAACAGTGGGAGAGGGTGGGTCAGCCTCCTGGAAGAAAGGTACCAAAGTGTCATACTTTGTTTGTTTGAAAAAATAAATCTTTTGTTAATCTATTTATAACAAAAATATTCTATGCAAAATAAGAGATATTATACAAAGCATGTCAATAATTGCTGTATATGCTATATGCTATATATATTTAACATTGTATCTGAGTATACTTACAGCAACAGCAGTCTTGGCCTCTGGCTCTACCGATGACTATGTAAATAAAGAAAGAAGGAATAGTTAATATTGTTATAAATTAAGTAACTGCCAAATAACTCATTTGCCCAGGGATATTTTCCTGACCTAAACAGCCATTCTTAAGCTTTAATAAAGATCAGATATAGGAATAAAAGCCTAATAATGGAAAACATAACCTCTTTGCCAAAGAAAAATGAACCCCAACCCAAATTTTTAAAAAGACATGGGACAGGTAACAGACTATTTCATGATGACTTTTACCGTAAAACATACACATGCATGTATTACAATTCATATTAATATTGTATTATACTTGAATTTCACTGCTATGACTAACAGTCCTATCAATGATTAGATGATTTTCAAGAATAAATTTACCTTTGACCTTTTACCCATTATTCCTTACAACTGTCTGCCTGCTCTTTCTCTCTGGTCTAGTGGTGCCAACACAGGAGGACTCAGCAGCTGCAGTTTGGACTCATTTTTGTTTCTTTGGAAGTTTTTTGTTGTTTTTAACTCACCTCAGTGAAGTTTGGGGAGCTCATGTGATATATACCCTCCGCATTGACATTGGCATATCAGATTAAAGTTTTTGATGCAGTTTTCTTTTTAAGTACTTCTATGCTATATATTGATCAGACATGCATGAAGGATGCTTCTAGTGGTTAAGGTTTCAGATGCATCAATTTTAGCTAAGGAATGACCAGGTTAATGTTTTTGGAGCAGGTTAACGTTTTTGGTGCAGGTTAAAGTTTTTTGGTGCAGTCTCATTTTCAAGCAACTATAAGCCCTATGTTGACCAAACTTACATGGATGATACATCTAAGGATGTACATCATAGAGCTTGCTTCCGATGCTGGGTCTAACATATTTTCTGGATGTGTAAAAATATTTATGGTGCAGGTCTCATTTCCAAGTAACTATATAAACCCTGTGATGACTAAACTTTCATGGATGATACATCTAGGATTGTATACTACCAGGCTTGCTTCAGATGCTGGATCTGACCTACATTTTCCAGATGAGTGAACAGGCTAAAGTGTTTGGTGCAGGTCTCATTTCTAAGTAACTGTGAGCCTTATGTTGACCAAACTTGCGTATCCAGGATGACATATATATATGCATTTTTGGATGAGTGAAAAGGTTAAGTTTTTGGTGCAGGTCTTATTTCTGACTTACTTTGAGCTCTGTATTGACCAAACTTGCACTGATGAGTATCCACAATAATGGACTTGTTTTGGATGCTGAATCTGACCTACATTTTTCCAGATGAATGAACAGGTTAAAACTTTTGGAGCAGGTTTATTCTATAGTACCTATAAGCCCTATGTTGACCAAACCTGTATGAATGATATAGCTAAGGATGCACACCAATTGACTTTTTTTGGATGCTGGATCTGGCATGCATATCTCAGATAATGGACCAGATGAAAGTTATGGGTGCAGTTCTTTTACCACAAAACTATAAGGCCTAAGTAGATATTAACCAAACTTGCAAGGATGATGCATCAAAAGATGAACACTCTCAAACTTGCTTCGGATGTTGAATTACATTTTCTTGATGGGTGTCTAGTTTGAAGTTAATGATAACTGCAAACCCTATGAGATCAAATTTTTGCATCTTGCAATGTAAACTTCAAGATTGTCAGTTTAATGTGGGACTTTGCCTTAGTTAAGACATTGCATTCATTGAGGTGAGCTCTGATATCTCTTGCATTCAATGAGGTGAGCTCTGTTATTTCTGATTACCTATGTTTTTTATTTATATAATTGTGGAAATATTTTTATGTAAAGAAGAGGCCCATGGGACTTTATTGACATTCACATCCTAAATTTCTCATTCTATTAAGATAATATTTGGATTCATTTACAGAACTGTAGTTTTGTTAGGACTCCTCTATGCATATTTCAGCTGTCTTCAAATTCAGAAAGAGATAGTTTGGACAATTAATTTAAAATTTATTTTCAGATACCAGAGGATCTACTTGCATTTACTTATCAAGTAGTGTATTAGACTTCTTGTCTAATAACTTCCAACCAAAACAGTAAAAAGAGATTTCAAGAAAAATGTATTTATAGAGTATTTATGAATATGCATCACATGGCAACAATGATTGTAAAAATGAAAAAAGCAATGCATTTATATTTTTCTCAGTATAAAGTACATGTATAGTCTACTTGTGTATCCAGACTGATTGAAAATGATTTTCAATTTTAGGATGAATTACCTAGGTATTTCAAATTTTAATTACCATGGTAACACCATTTGTCACAGTAAAAAAAAAAAAAACGATGTACAGTATTATGCATTTTAATATAGTTTACACATGCATCAACTTATTGGCATTGGTTTGAAACTGTGAGAAAAATAATTTTTGAGAAAAAAATAGTTAAACTTATTTCTTTCTTTTAATTATATATATCCATGACAGCACAATTTGTCAAAATCAAAAAATGATAAATAGAAAGATTTATCTACTTGTGTACATAGTCTTACTGAAATCATACCAAACTGCAGGAGACAACAAGAGGCCCACAGGCCTTATAGGTCACCTGAGCATTATGCAACAACTTTCCAGTTATTGAATTTGATTCATGTTTTAAGCCAGATGCTATATGGCATTCATTATTTTGAAAGAGGCACCATTGATCATCATAACTTTACACTTAGCAGATGCTTAGCTTGGTTACTGAATACCCATACGCAGGGTAAGGGAACAAAAATGCATTCCAACTAATCAGTAATATTCAGCAATAAACAGTAGTGCTCCTAACACTGTGACAAAAACCCCTGACCCTATGTCCACACATTGCACAAATTTTAAAAAGGCACCCTTAAAATTGCCTATCAAAAAATAAATAAATGTTTTATAAATACAAAGGAGCAGATTTCAAACAATCAATTCATTTTCAGTATATAAGTATAGCCCCTCCCCCCCAAACCCTGACCCTGGGGCCTTGAAATTCACAATTCTGCAAGATTAAAGCCCTTGCTCATCATAACTATATAGGTAGTTCATCTGCTTCATACCCAGAGACAGAGAAGAAAATTTTCAAAGATTTAATGCATTTTCACTATATAATCAATAGAGCCCCGCCCTAACACCAGAACCCCTGATCCTGGGGACACAAAATTGAAAATTTTAGAAGAGGCATTCTTGCTCATCATAACTGTGTACTTAGTTAGTTTATTTAATTCCTAGGAGCAGAGAAGAAGATTTTCAAAGAATTCATGTATTTTTACTATATAATCTACACAACCCCGCCCTAACACCAGAACCCCTGACCCTGGGACCATAAAATTCAAAATTTTGTTTGAGGCACTCTTGCTCATCATAACTATGCACTTAGTTAATTTATTTAATACATAGGAGCAGAGAAGAAGATTTTCAAAGAATTCATGTATTTTTACTATATAATTTATACAACCCCGCCCTAACACCAGAACCCCTGACCCTGGGACCATAAAATTCACAATTTTGTTTGAGGCACTCTTGCTCATCATAACTATGCACTAAGTTAGTTTATTTAATACCCAGGATCAGAGAAGAAGATTTTCAAAGAATTCATGTATCTTCACTATAAAATCAATAGAGCCCCCCCCCCCCCAACACCAGAACCCTTGACTCTAGGGCCATAAAATTCACAATTTTGGTTGAGGCACTCTTGCTCATCATAACTATGCACTTAGTTATTTATTTAATACCTAGGAGCAGAGAAGAAGATTTTTAAAGAATTCATGTATTTTCACTATATAATCAATAGAGCCCCCCCCCCCCTCAACACCAGAACCCTTGACCCTGGGGCCATAAAATTCATAATTTTGGTTGAGGCACTCTTGTTCATCAGAACTATGCACTTAGTTAGTTTATTTAATACCTAGGAGCAGAGAAGAAGATTTTCAAAGAATTCATGTATTTTTACTAGAGCCCCCCCCCAACACCAGAACCCTTGACCCTGGGGCCATAAAATTCACAATTTTGATAGAGGCACTCTTGCTCATCATAACTATGCACTTAGTTAGTTTATTTAATACCTAGGAGCAGAGAAGAAGATTTTCAAAGAATTCATGTATTTTCACTATATATATAATCAATAGAGCCCGACCCTAACACCAGAACCACTGACCCTGGGACCATAAAATTCACAATTTTGGTAGAGGCACTCACTCTCATCATAACTATGTACTCAGTTGGTTTATTTAATACCCAGGAGCAGAGAAGAAGATTCTCAAGGAAATAATGCATTTTCACTATATACTTATTTAGCCCCGGCCTAGCACTAGAACCCCTGACCCCAGGGCCATGAATTTCAAAATTTTGGTAGAGGACTCAATGCTGATTACAATCATGCAAACAGTATGACTGCTTGATGTCCAGGAGTAAAGAAGAAGATTTTTAAAGATTGCATTAATTTTAGTGGTTTTGGCCCCACCCCTCAGGCCCCAGGGGGGCAGGGATCATGAAATTCACATTTTTTGTTCCCCTTTACCCATAGATGCTTTGTGCCAAATTTGGTTGAAATTGGTTCATTGGTTGCAGAGAAGAAGCTGAAAATGTTTTAACACACAACGCACGACACACAACACACAACACACGACGCACGACGACGGACGAAAACAGATAGCAATAGGTCAAATAATTCAAAGAAATTGAATTTCTGTGACTATGGCATTTTACACTATTTGTGGAAATCAAATACCAATAAAAAGAAGTATGCAATTAGTATAATCTACATCATGTAATCTATCGTCTTACTAAAATCGGACAAATTAAATTCTCCTGATTTTTCACAAAGTGTATTTGATTTTATGCCAAATACACATTAGTACAGTTCATGGTACGCCTCAACCTAGTCCTAGAATCACTCCACAGTTGACCACCTCTTGGGTTCCATGATACCAATTAAGCTAATATGATGGTTCCTCCTGTCCACAATTAGTTCTTCAAGGGTCGTAGACTGGACCTTGTGTAATGTGGTACCTGAACAAGCCCTCTCAGATCTCCTCTGCGATTTTACCTCAACCAGTCAAAACACACAGTCTGTTTTCCATGTCCTGAGTTTCGAAATTTCAAACAGCTCGAGTAAAACAGACTGAAACCTGCCGCTTGGAAAGTCCTCCGATGACACTGATAGTTTGATCAGCAATGCATTGCAAATGACCACGTGTTACAGAGAAATATGGGTACAACACTGCTACCTTTACAGGACTGTATAGCTAGCTTGATAGACTGTTACCAATATGACAGAGGACAATTGTACTTTGTTTACCTTTCTGGTCCACACCATGTCCCGTCTCCACACCCGGTTGGTTCTCCAGTAGGTCCTCAGGAACTGTGGTGGCTCAGGCTGTAAAACAAGTCATCTTCAATTGAATCATTTCTTAACTGGAACTATCTAGGTATAGGTTAAAAATCAAGTACCCGGGTATCAAGTGTAGTTCAAGTATATATATATCTGAATTAATAATGTTGCTGGAGTAATAAGCATTCTACATGATAAAGGAATACATATTCTGCTGACTGTGATGAATAATTATGACGATAATGTAATAAATGTGATATTGAAGTCTATATGTTACTATGTATGTGCTGTCAATGAAATACGCGTTCCAAAACTTAAACAGATTCATAAAAAATTTCAACAAATCGATAGGAATCTTATGATAAACATGTTAAATGATTAATAATAGTCAAGAAGTAACTGGGGATTAAGCATGGTTATTTACCTGTTTGGGTTCTGGGACAGGTGGCACCTTGGTGGGTCCGTCACTGGTCACCTGGGTGGTGGGTGGTGTCTTCTGCTGCTTGGTCTGCTTCTAAAATAAAATGTTTCAGTTTGATATACTAGTATTCATGTAGTTCATAATGTCATAATCCTTGAGGGAAAAAGTGTTTTATCTATATACAATTAAACCTCCATAAAAATGTATCAACAATTTATCATGTCCAAAATTACATTGTGAAGAAATGTTCAGAAATATAAGAAGAAACTGGAGCACTTAGATTAAGAATGATTATTCACCTGTTTGGGTTCTGGGACAGGTGGCGCCTTGGTGGGTCCGTCACTGGTCACTGGGGTGTTGGGTGGTGTCTTCTGCTGCTGGGTCTGCTCCTAAAATACAATGTTTATTTCAGTTTGATATGTAGTTTATAATACAGTATTACAATTTTTTTAAAATTAAGTTATCTTTTTTTCAATTGCCCCCTTTCAAATACTTGTAACTGATGCTGAACATTCACCTCTCTTGTCCACTTCTGGTCCCTCCGCCAGACTCTGTTGTACCTCCAGGTTATCCTCCTCCGTTTGGGTACGACCTACAAAACAGAGGAGACATATTTACTGTAAACACCATTACTATTATACATGTAGTATCATTAATTACATAAAGTCAATAAATAATACTCGGGTGCCGCACCTCGTCAGTTTCCCGGGATGGTGAGCCCCTGGGGGTCTCTGGCGAGGCCTTGCCTGATTCATCACCGGTCTGAAATTAAACAAAAAAAAATAGCATACTTGTATTTAAAAAAAAATCACTATTTAACACCATTGATAATATAAGTTGCCGCAAATACTATATAATACCGGTAATATTTGGTTTATGTTGAGTGTTAAGATGCTGCCTATACTCTAATTATTTTAAAATTATTATAATTCGACATACCTGTTTGGGTTGGTCCTTTGTAGAGGGGGGTGGCACCCTCTGTTGTACGCTGGTGGCGAGTCCCTGAAAGACAGCAAAGATTGGTTTTATTTTTCCATATCAGCTAATTATATATATATATCTCTCAATACGTGTTTATCAAGCTATTCTGAACATGTTTTGATCATCAAATCGTTTTAATTTCGTAATTATTATCTTAGTTATTTTGAATGTTGAAAATCTCCATCAACAGGATATAAATATGATGTTTACCTCTCGTGTCCACTTCTGGTCCTTTGTCCAGACACGGTTGTATCGCCAGGACCGCTTTCTCTTTACGGGTACAGCCTACGAAATAAAGAGAACATTAAGAACTATTACATATGTCTTAATTCCAGTCAATAAATAATAACAAATATTCATGATAATTCTGCAAATTTTTATATTCATAAAAGCGAAATTAAGATTTTTCTAAACAGGAAACAGTAAATGCTCTGCAGTTTTGATTAATATGAGCTAGAGCATTCTGTACAAGACTTTTGCGACACCTTATTTTTGCGAGACAAAATTTTCACGAATGCTGCTCACTGATGTACATAACTAATCTTTAAGAATATTAATATACGCGAGAATAATATTTTTGCAAGCATATTATCTAGCGAAAATAATGATCTTGCAAATAAAAAGTTATTAACAGTACCTCATCAGGGGTGCAGAGCGGAGGCTTTCTGGTTCCCTGTGAGTTCCCGTCTGGACCATCCACAGTCTGAAGTATAGAAAATGTGTACGCTTAATACTTTATACCAACTAGTAGACTGGTAGTTATACGAATATAATGTATCCCAACCCCTTCATCCCAACACAAACAAAATATCCATTAAAATATATCACTTTCAGTACAAATACTTTCAAAATCTTACAGTGCTACCTGGGTATAATGCCCTCCGTTATATTGCCACACCCGCTCATTGCCAGGAATTCTCCTAAACTTCACCCTGTGTTAATGCACCCGTTAATTTGCAACCCCCGCTTATTGCCAATTTACAGTGGGTTAAATGCATTTCTCTTCCATGTGCATCATTTTTCACAAGTACTAGAATACGCCCGCCCGCAACACGTTTTAATCCTTTCTCTTCATTGATTAAATTAATTCCCATATCATGAGAAAAAAATATATAAATTTATTATTGAAAGAAAGGTTTAAAATGCCAAGTTTCTATGACCCTGTACCTTGATTTTTTTTTATTAATTCCCTTATCCTTCTTTTTTGTAACTCTGCAACCCCCCCCCCCCCCACCCCCCACCCCCCCATCCAGGAAAGGCTAACGTTGCCAATGGTGACATGAAATAATGTAGAGCTAGGACAAGATTTCATTCCCTGTATATTCTTATTACATTCTATGATTTGAAAACAACTTTTTTAACGAAAGAATCGTCTATATAAACCCTTTATATATAAATTATCAGATTTTTATCAAAGGAAATATACATCATATGTCCGGAATAGATATAGAGAAACTGGATCTTTGGACCTATAATGTTCAGCAAAACGTTCGATCGCTGATCTTATGTTTTCCTCGACATCCTCCCTCCCCCGATAATAAAAATTACATGTAGATATATTTTCTTTGGCAATGATACCAGGAAAATGGACGTGTGTAAGAAAGGGGGTAACAATATGTCAGCATAGAAAAATCCGTTACCCCTCGTAGTGTTCTATAGTAAAATTGAACAAAGAAATCAAAACCAAACTTATTTTTTACTAAATAAAACACACAATATGAGGCTTTACCCTCTTATCTTTGTTGCCGTGCATCATCGTCGCCATTTCTCTGCTAAATGCAGTAAAATTTGCAAAAAATCGAGACAGTAAAAATATGCGTCCAATGTCTTCGACTAAAGCCGTTGGAATGAATCGTAACCACAACATAACGACAGTCTACTGCGAAACGTGATGTCACAATGCTAATGACGTAAGCAAAATCAGCCACTACGTTTGGACTTTCCCGTTATTTTTCATAATAACCACATTTTTCATGAAGAAATTAGGTTTGCAAAAATGTTTTAATATCAATCTATACAATGAATCGGTTATAAAAATTTTATCATGAGTATTTGAAAATTAAAAAAAAAAAATAGATTTGGTTTTGCTTTTAACCTGCTCTACTCTCAAACTTCACCAAAAAGTATTTATTTTTTCTGTTCATTTGAGATCTTTCGATATAAGTCGGCATGCCTTTGAACTTAATAAATCTACTTTCTGTTCAGCATTAAATATAAGCACATTCAGTACATTTTCGCAAAATACCGGTAGATAAATTAATATTCAGAGACAGAGTCCGTTTTGTTTTATGTTTGATTAATTTATTTTTTTTTTCATATTTTAATTTTATGGCCAAGTAATTTTTGACGTTTTTCTGTAATAAGTTCTATTTTTTCTTTAACTTGACCCCCCCCCCCTTTCTCCCCAATTTAAAAGATTAAATAATCTTTTTTAAGAATATAAATAATATGGCCTTTTCGAGAGAGAACTTTGACAAACTAGGACGAAACAATAAGAACAACTAGATAACGGACCGACAATGAATTAAGCTCAGGCCATCTTTATCAAAACTGTTTACTTGCCGTCTCCCCACTCTGGGTAAAACTATTGGGTCGAGAGGTATGTATGAAAATCTTTCTCCAAAAAAATTTCAACATACTAGCATTTGTTAACGGGAAAAAAGTGTCCTGGAATGTAAATAAAAAGTCCATGAGTCGGGCAGTTTCAGTCAATCAGTCGGGAGATGTCAAGCAGAAAATTTTGTAAAGATGGCCTCGCTTGAGTTTTACAAAAAAAACAAAAAAAAATGGGGGGGGGGGATGTCATATTTCTATTCCCTTATCAGATTCTTTTGTTACGTGTCAACTTCAAGACTATAAAAAATTATTATGCACTGGAAAAAAGAAGAAATTATTCAATCCGTTTTTGTAAAGGTAAGTAACATGTAATAATATGTTGTACCTTGTGAGACGCCAAAGATGGCGATGCCCTGGCTCTGAGGGTTGTCTCGTCTGGATCAACAAACTTCTGAAATATAAAAGGCCACAGGTTATGCGAATACAAATATACAATATGAATATTTTCAAGAAATATTAATAAAACTTTTTCTCAAACTATAATGGGTCGATACTTTGCTGTTAAATAATTATATGAAACATCTTATTAATTATTAGAATACACCCCTCTCCTCAAGGCACCTTTTCAAAAAACATTTCTCTTCATTAAATAATCACCATACTATAAAAAACATTATACCTATAATGGTATGGGGATTTTTTTAATCATTGAATGGTAGGTTTAAAAATGTAAATTCCTATGAACTACGATCCCCCTCGTACCGCAAAATTTGTTAACCCCCTCTCCTTTTAATAACTTGTTAATTTTTTGTAACCCCCCCCCCTCCCGGAAGCAGGAAAGGCTTACGTTGCCAATGACGACATGAAATAATGTAGAGCTAGGAAAATATTTCATTCCCTGTATATATTCTAATTACGCGGCTAACTCCCTTCCTTCTATGATCTGAAAACAGCTTTTTAAGGAAAGAAATATCTATATTTAACCTTCTATATCATAAATTAAAAGATTTTTTACTAGAAAATCTACACCATTTGTCCGGAATAGATATAGAGAAACTGGATCTTTTCACTTATAATGTTCAACAAAACGTTCAGTCGCTGATCTTAAGTTTTTCTCGACAACCTTTCTTCCCCGAGAATAAAAATTACATGTAAGTATATTTTCTTTGGCAGTGATATCAGGAAAATGGGCGTGTGTAAGAAAGGAGGGTAACAATATGTCAGCATAGAACCATGCATTACCCCTCATAGTTCTCTAACATAATATTAAACAAAGAAATCAATATCAAACTTATCTTTTTACTAAATTAAACACACAATATGAGGCTTTACCCTCTTATCTTTGTTTTCGTTCATCATCGTTGCCATGTATCTGCTAAATGTAGTAAACTTTGCAAAAATTCGGGAGAGTAAACAAATACGTCTGATGTCTGCGACTAAAGCCGTTGGAATGAATCGTAACCACAACACAACGACAGTCTACTACGAAACGTGATGTCACAATACTAATGACGTAAGCGGAATCAGACAAGGACGTTTCCATTATTTTTCACAAATAATCAAATTTTCCAAGTAGAAAGTATGTTTACCAAAATGTTTATAATATTAAAACATTCGATGAATCGGTTACAAAAATATTGTCATGATAATTTGAAAAAGAAAGAAAGAGAGATTTGGTCTTGCTTCTAAACCTGCTCTACTCTCAATTTTCGCCAAAAAAGTATTTTTAATTTTTTCTATTCATTTGAGGTCGTTCGTTATACATGTAATTCGGCATACTCTTGAACTCAATGTATCTACGTAGAAAGGGTTCCTTTTTTTGTTCAGCAATACTGAATTGTGTGCACTCATTGCACTGTGCTGTAAAGCCCTATAACATATTCAGTAAAATTGTTGCAAAATATATTATAATTTAATGTTCAGATTGTATTTGATTTGTTTGATTAATTTGTTGGGATTTCATTATTCCTATTTCATTCTCTTTTTTTATTTTTCTATGGCCATTTTTTTTTTACTTTGGAGAATCATACATGCATTTCTATTCCATTGTCAGATTCTTTTGTGAGCTAAAACACACGTGTCAACTCCAAGACTATAATTTAATGCACTGGAACACCCATCCCCACCCCCCAAATGATTCAATCCGTTTTTGTAAAGGTAAGTAACATGTAATAATATGTTGTACCTTGTGAGACCCCAAAGATGGCGCTGCTCTGGTTCTGAGGGTTGTCTCGTCTGGATCAACAAACTTCTGAAATATAAAAGGCCACAGGTTATGCGAATACAGTATAAATACTTTCACGAAATATTAATAAAACTTTTCTCAAACTATAATGGGTCGATACTTTGCTGTTAAATAATTATATGAAACATCTTATTAATTATTAGAATACACCCCCCTCCTCAAGGCACCTTTTCAAAAAACATTTCTCTTCATTAAATAATCACCATACTATAAAAAACATTATACCTATGGGGATTTTTTTAATCATTGAATGGTAGGTTTAAAAATGTAAATTCCTATGAACTACGATCCCCCTCGTACCGCAAAATTTGTTAACCCCCTCTCCTTTTAATAACTTTTTAATTTTTTGTAACCCCCCCCCCCCTCCCGGAAGCAGGAAATGCTTACGTTGCCAATGACGACATGAAATAATGTAGAGCTAGGAAAATATTTCATTCCCTGTATATATTCTAATTACGCGGCTAACTCCCTTCCTTCTATGATCTGAAAACAGCTTTTTAAGGAAAGAAATATCTATATTTAACCTTCTATATCATAAATTAAAAGATTTTTTACTAGAAAATCTACACCATTTGTCCGGAATAGATATAGAGAAACTGGATCTTTTCACTTATAATGTTCAACAAAACGTTCAGTCGCTGATCTTAAGTTTTTCTCGACAACCTTTCTTCCCCGAGAATAAAAATTACATGTAGATATATTTTCTTTGGCAGTGATATCAGGAAAACGGGCGTGTGTAAGAAAGGAGGGTAACAATATGTCAGCATAGAACCATGCATTACCCCTCATAGTTCTCTAACATAATATTAAACAAAGAAATCAATATCAAACTTATCTTTTTACTAAATTAAACACACAATATGAGGCTTTACCCTCTTATCTTTGTTTTCGTTCATCATCGTTGCCA